AGCGAAGGCTCCATACTTTAACACAAAATAATGCCACAAAGGTTGCTAGATTGCCTGGTATATCTACTGCTTTATAATTTCTTTAGCATACACCTTCACGAGATTTTTTTAAAATCTGATAATTTGCTGAATTCCATGTTCTTGTTTCAAGGTGAATAAACGTGAGCTCATCATCCACCTTTGGTTGTAGACATGGCATGTCAAACACACCATACTTTGTTTCTATTATCGTGTTCCAAAATGTCTTTCTATGAACACCTTCCGTTTCTATTTCTAGTTCATAAACCAAGATAGAATCAAATAGATCTATTCTCATAGTTATTTTAAGTGTTCAACAACACTCAACGTTCGATATTATGGACTGCATTTCTCGTGATTAAGCGTGTGTGCAAGAAAGACGTGGTGTATGCAATGATTTGGTTCTGGAAAGTCGTCTTAATAAACCGAGTCCTCAGTGATGCCTCTACACAGCTTTTATCGATGACGAAAATTCAAACAGGATTTAAAAGATTACCTATTACCATCTAACCTCTAGTTAAGGAATCACATGATTAAGCTTTTGTTTTGGTCGCCATATCCAAAATTTAACTTATTTTCTAGAGAGGTACCAACCCCCCTAACAGGAGCTTCATTTTCATCGCTACGTTTTGTTGTCGTTTCATACACGATAAAATTCAAACAGGTTTTATAAAGGTGGTTCATTACCATCTAACCTTTGGTTAAGGAATCACATAGTTGAGTTTGGCCACCGTTTCCAAAATTTAGCCAATTTTCAAGAAGGCAGTTACCCCCTAACGGGAACTTCATGTTCATCGCTACGTTTTGTTGTCGTTTCATACATGATAAAATTAATGATTCTTCGCCGTGTAAAAAACAATAGTAATCTAAGATAGGGAGTAGGTTACGTTAAACTGAAACAAATGAAAATGGTCTCGTTCCCTCAAACTGGACAAAATGCCGGTTATTAGCGACTAAAAATCACTCCTTTTAGCCACTGTTTCTTGGTTATCTTGCCTTCTAGAAAAAAATTCTCAGTGGCAGTCCGGAATTTCATTTAAATTCAATTTGTATTGAAAATTCTCCCGAAAGAAAATGGCTTGGAAGAAAATAAAATGAAACTGGGTGGTCAGATAAACAGATCTGCTAATTCATTCAATAATTCATTAAACGTAAAAATAGGTGAGAATTCTTGCGGAAAATTACATGATCTTTTAAAGACACTGTTACAAAATAGAACCTTGGAAGTGAAAAAGATAACTTTCTTTTTATCTACGCTTTAGGAATTTCCTTTTTTTTTTTCTGCATTTCAACCTCCGTGATGTTGTTTATGGCAACAGATGTATCTCATATAAAATTTACTTGCGCAATACAAATATTCTGATCCGTATTGGTAAAAAAAAAACAGACGTGATGAATACAATTAAATAATTACTCTTAAGTAATTTCAGCGAGAATTTTAGAAGTATTCCAAGAAACCCCATCCTGAGGATAGACTACTCGGTAAGTTTAACTGAAGCTTTACGATTGATCTCCTATTAACTCTTCAGATATTATCCCTTTCACTTAGTTAAAAAAAAATAATCGTCCTCCTGAGTCTCTCCTAAACCACAGGATTTTCGGGCGTTTTAATGGCCACCTCTCTTCAAGTAAACAGTTTCAAGAGCTTTGATCTACACATGCTCTATTGGACAAGATTTGTACATAGATGGGTGGCTGTGTAAACTCTCCTTGCTGTAAACGTTCTTTACCTTTACTTACTGGACTGTATTCGCTTCCAAGTTCAGATCACAAATTTTTTAACGCTTCGTAAACTCGAGAACTCATTCCGCAAAATTTTGGAATCTGATGTAACCTTGAAGAATCGAGAATTCTTTAGCATATTTGCCTATCATCTGGCTGATCGAGGAGTTTATGATTACCGCGCTAAACACAGTTTAAAAAAAAGGACGCTAATTTTTAAAGGCGGATTTGGCGGGGTAGAGGGTCCGGTAAAGTTTTGTTTCGGATCAGAAACTCGAAAACAGAGCAATAATAGGGAAGACGAATGTAACGGATAAAATTTGTAAGTTTTCGTCTAGTCTCGCTATCGGTTGCTTTCCCCGTAAATCAATTGAGCGCAAGGTTTTTCGATTCACTTATAAACTTTCAGTGTAAGCAAAGTGAAAAGAAACATTGAAACTGCAAAGAAGCATTCACTAGACTCTGTGATTTCTTAAATCAAGTCAAAAAGCTCTTTTCACGCCAAGTTTAGACAGTTTTTTTTCTGCTTAGCTTTTGTTGCAATCAATTTACCTTAAGTCATCGCTGTATCAATTTTTAAAAAGGAATATGAATGGTGGTAAAATCAGACCGGCCTGATGAAAAGGTTCGTTTATCAACCAGCGCTCTCCGGCTGGCTCATACAAATCTATCATTCTCATGAAATATTTCATCAGCAATTGGTAAGAACTCCCATTACATTTTCTGTTTCGTTCTGTTAAAATTAACCCTGTAGAGAGCATGATGCCCAGCAATGGAAAGCATCTCGAATGTGTATGAGACAAAATCTTAACCCAGATCTTTGTTCACAATGAAACTGAAATTGAAGGAATTTATTCTTGCATGTACAAACAATGCTATGTTATATGACAAACTAAAACTGCTTATTTACGTCCTTTATTGGTAATATGAGGAGGTGAAACCACGCCTAATGGCGATGATAAAGGGGCCGTTAAACCATAATACTTCACAACTATTTGAAGTGAAAAAGATATTTCGTCCATTTTATATCTCCTTTTTTCAGATATTTCCTCTCTATACTATTTGTTTCTATATCTGTACACGGCTCCATGTAACTAATAAATAACATAAAAATTGTTTGCATCTCGTAAAATAAATATTATATGCGGCTCTTATTTTATCAATATCGCAATAAATAGTCCGCCAAGGAAAGACCCAGAGGTAAGTTTAATTCACTCGCTCATTACCTGCTATTAAAATGTTATTCTCACCATCGAAAAAAACAAAGAATTTCTAAATCGGGCATCAATGAAAGGATACTAAAGCATTGCATATCAAATATATTATTTCCGTCACATACAGCTTTAAATGATCACCTGTAAAACTAACTGGAGTGCAGAAAAGAAGTGAAAAGTGACGCCAAAAGTTCAGTACAAGTTGCTCTCATGCATATTAAAAGTATAACTCATCATGAAAGAAACGCATCTTCATATTTCAATTTCGATTCTTCCCTTAATTGGGAGGTTTAATACCGACATGATGTATTTGACTTTATACAATTATTTTATCTTTCTTTTTCTTTTTTTTCGCGTCTCTCTTTATTCTGAATTAGTTAATTACGAGATATCTAAAAAAAAAACTACACCTCGAGAAGACATATGAATTCTCAAACCTCTGATATCGTAGAGAAAGCTCCCCAGTGTAGAAAAGTAAAGAGGACTTTCAATTTCTCGAAATGAAAGTTTTTCTCGACAAAGAGTAAATTTTTCAAATTTTTGATTGACGTTTTTAAGCTACATATTGATAATAATTGTCCAACAATCAATCAAATGCAACCTAAACTTCTGAAATTTATTTGAATATTTGCACAATTAGACTAGCGCGTTCATATAAAGGTTTTGTTTATTTAAACTGTCCTGCTAGCGTAGTCAGTTTCTGGGTTAAATCCAATGATCTCATGAAATGATTCTATAATAATTGATACGAAATCCCTAATAGGTCCTATTCGTTTTGTTTAAATCAGTTTTCTAAAGAACTTTGTACCGACTAATGGAAAGCATCCTAAATTTGCGTTTCTTATTCGCCAAATTGTACAACGAAAACATTCCGTGAGTAACATAACCATGAATATAACATTTATTAATAATTAGACAGAAATTGGAAAAACATATTCTGGCACGAAGAAACAGACCCATGTGGCATGACAAACGAACAAAAATGTAATTATTAAAATTTTGTAATGCAAATATTTTACACCATGTTGGGCAAAACAGTACCTGGCTCTCATTTTAGTAATGCCGCTAGTAACAGTCCGGTAAGCAAAGAAAGGTAGGTGAGTTTCATTCAATGTCCCACTAAGTACCGTTCAATCGTTATTTTACATTAAAACTAAGATAAAGTGAGACTGAATTACCAAAGGTTATCAACCGAACGATTTTAAAGCATCTTATAGCAACCGTTTTTCCGTAATAAACAGGATCAATTGAACGCCTTGCAAAACCCTATCGGGAGTAGAGAAGAGACATTAAGAGTAACAACAAAAGTATTGTACAAGTTGTACTTATAGCTGGTAAAAGTATTTTAAGTACGCTTTTACTAAAGGCACCAAGGACTCTCGACCTGTGTTTTCTCAGTCTTTTTATATATCTTTTCTGTAAAACGACCTTAGTAATACCTACAACAAACTCACTTCAATCTGGTTAACTCTGGTCGTTTCCCTAACTCTGTTCCCCTCCTCGCTCTTTCTAACTCACTGATTCTCACTCTTCAATTTCTTACTGACTGTTAACTGTAAACTGTAAACTCTCAACTGAATGCTTAAATACTCGCTATTGGTAGGCATGAGTGGGCATGCTGGCTAACTTATCTTGGAAGATTAGGCATTTGTTGTTAGTATTCTATAACCGTCATGCATTAAAAAAAACTCTCACAAATGAACAACTTCACACTTGAATGCTTCTCATCAGCCAAATCAGTCTTTCTCTGGGTTCATATGGCACCATGTTTTCTTTCACATGGGGCTTCCTGTTCTGTGCGCTTGAGCTCTGCTGACATTTATTCGTGATTTAAACGGGATACGCTGCCACTCCGGTAATTTGCTGTCTAAAGGCAAATATCATCTGCTAATACATGGTAGCAGGATTGTTCCATCAGACCACAAAATCTGCAAATAGTTTCCCTTTACCAACAAAATAACAATGCAATTATCAACTGGGATGTCAGCTGTTTATGTGAAAATAAAAAAGAAAGAGCTGACGCAATTTTATTCTATTTCAGCACCTACAACAAGAAAATATGCAGTCATCACTAAGATATATCCTCACACTACTCGTTTTGAGCGTGAATATTTTTTGTGGTAAGTACTTAATGCTTGTTTTCAAGCTCAAGATTATATGCTCGGAGAGTATGAAATATACTGTCTTGGTCCTAGTTCATTCTCATGATGAGTTTAAAGGAGACACTTGCAAAAAACGCAGGTCAGAAAACGCAGGTCAATTAAATCAGTGAATTGATCAGTGCTGCAGTTATCGTAGGATAATCGACTTATGGATTTGTAGTTTCTCCTGCACGGAGGGTATCATAATTATTCTGATTCTTCCACAGGGCTCCCTTGTCCACCTGGCAAAAAGACGGACGATCCTCAAGGCCGTTGCTGTGTTTTTCCTTTTGAGTATGGAGGAGTAACTTACCAATCTTGTACCAACGGATGGTGTTCATTTGACGAAGTTTACGTGGGAAACTGGGCTAACTGCGGTAAGGAATAAAAGTTACAAATTTAGCAATATTAAATTCAATAAAGAAGTTTTTTGAAACGATTATTACCTTTATTGACCGGCTGTAAGAAACAAAATAGCATTCAACGCTAACCCTTCACAATATCGACAATCTCCTTTCAGCATTATAAGACAGATTGATTTTCCATAAAATCTAAGCGACTGTTGATAAAAACAGGCAACTTTTCCGATTATGCTGACAGGGAGAGTTAAACGAAAACTGGTTCAGAGTTAGCTTTCAATCCTCTTTGCTACTTAACAAGCTTGTGTTGACTCAAAAACATTTATGGAGTGGATATTGGTTACCCTCTTCCGCACAACATGTACGGGGGAATAAAAATGCTAAATACTGTTTTGGGACATTGAGGTTGTGATTTGTTCATGTGCCAATTTTTCAAAATAGTCTATTGGATGTTTTAGTTGATAGTCAACGAAGTGTGTTTGGTTTCCCTCAGCGAGCCACAAAATTTTCACTAGACACAAATTATTACCTACCTCAACAAATAAATAACCGAAGTCGCCTAATGCAAAGTTTTGTTATGAACCCTAGTGAACCCGTGCACAAACAACCCTTGCCAAAATGGGGGAGACTGCACAGTAACTGGAGATGATTCTTACAGCTGTAAATGTGCCGACGGATATTATGGAGAATCTTGTGAAAAAGGTACAGGCACAATAAATATGATCATTTTAGATATTTCTTGAATATAGAGGCGACTAATTTGCCAATCATAACGGACTTCTACTCTGCCAATATAATGTTTCGTTTCCTCAGTGAGCCCTTGTAAATCACATCCTTGTAAAAATGGTGGAACATGCACAATGACGGGTCTTGATTCATTCTCATGCAAATGCACTGATGATTTTGAAGGAGACACCTGCGAAAAGCGTGAGTAAACTTTTAACAGTACATCAGTTATGTTCAACGAGTACTTTTGTGCTTGTGTAGATTTGTTTCGTAAAGAACGTAACACAAATATTCTGATTCTTCTTCAGGGCTCCCTTGTCTACCTGGCAAAAAGACGGACGATCCTCAAGGCCGTTGCTGTGTTTTTCCTTTTGAGTATGGAGGAGTAACTTACCAATCTTGTACCAACGGATGGTGTTCATTTGACAAAGTTTACGTGGGAAATTGGGCTAACTGCGGTAAGGAATAAAGGTTACAAATCAAGCAATATTAAATTCAATAAAGAAGCTTTTTGAAACGATTATTACCTTTATTGACCAGCTATAAGAAACAAAATAGGATTCAACGCTAACCCTTCGCAATATCGACAATCTCCTTTCAGCATTATAAGACAGTTTGTTTTTCCATAAAATCTAAGCGACTGTTGATAAAAACAGGCAACTTTTCCGATTATGCTGACAGGGAGAGTTAAACGAAAACTGATTTAGAGTTAGCTTTCAATCCTCTTTGCTACTTAAGAAGCTTGTGTTGACTCAAAAACATTTATGGAGTGGATATTGGTTACCCTCTTCCGTACAACATGTAAGGGGGAGTAAAAATGCTAAATACTGCATGAGAGCTTGAGGTTGTGATTTGTTCATGTGCCAATTTTTCAAAATAGTCTATTGGAATTTTTTGGTTGATAATCAACGAAGTGTGTTTAGTTTCCCTCAGCGAGCCACAAAATTTTCACTAGACTTAAATCATTACCTATGATGTGTCAATAGCACTTAAATACCTTTGCAGATTTCATTTCCTGAGATGAATCCCTCCATATCTAAGGTAATTTTCTGTGTGGAAAACAAATCCACCTACCTCAACAAATAAATAACCGAGGCCGCCTAATGCAAAGTTTTGTTATGACCCCTAGTGAACCCGTGCACAAACAACCCTTGCCAAAATGGGGGAGACTGCACAGTAACTGGAGATGATTCTTACAGCTGTAAATGTGCCGACGGATATTATGGAGAATCTTGTGAAAAAGGTACAGGCATGATAAATATGATTATTTTAGACAATTCTTGAACATAGAGGCGACTAATTTGCCATTCATAACAGACTACTACTCTGCCAATCATAATGTTTCGTTTCCTCAGTGAGCCCATGTAAATCACATCCATGTAAAAATGGTGGAACATGCACAATGACGGGTCTTGATTCATTTTTCTGCAAATGCACCGATGACTTTGAAGGAGACACCTGCGAAAAGCGTGAGTAAACTTTTAACAGTACATCAGTTATGTTCAACGAGTACTTTTGTGCTTGTGTAGATTTGTTTCGTAAAGAACGTAACACAAATATTCTGATTCTTCTACAGGGCTCCCTTGTCTACCTGGCAAAAAGACGGACGATCCTCAAGGCCGTTGCTGTGTTTTTCCTTTTGATTATGGAGGAGTAACTTACCAATCTTGTACCAACGGATGGTGTTCATTTGACGAAGTTTACGTGGGAAATTGGGCTAACTGCGGTAAGGAATAAAAGTTACAAATTAAGCATTATTAAATTCAATAAAGAAGTTTTTTTTAAAAGGATTATTGCCTTTATCGACCGGCTGTAAGAAACAAAATAGCATTCAACGCTAACCCTTCACAATATCGACAATCTCCTTTCAGCATTATAAGACAGATTGTTTTTCCATAAAATCTAAGCGACTGTTGATAAAAACAGGCAACTTTTCCGATTATGCTGACAGGGAGAGTTAAACGAAAACTGGTTCAGAGTTAGCTTTCAATCCTTTTTGCTACTTAACAAGCTTGTGTTGACTCAAAAACATTTATGGAGTGGATATTGGTTACCCTCTTCCGCACAACATGTAGGGGGGAATAAAAGTGCTAAATATTGTTTTGGGACATTGAGGTTGTGATTTGTTCATGCGCCAATTTTTCAAAATAGTCTATTGGATGTTTTAGTTGATAGTCAACGAAGTGTGTTTGGTTTCCCTCAGCGAGCCACAAAATTTTCACTAGACACAAATCATTACCTTTGATGTGTCAATAGCACTTAAATACCTTTGCAGATTTCATTTCCTGAGATGAAGCCCTCCATATTTAAGGTAATTTTCTGTGTGGAAAACAAATCCACCTACCTCAACAAATAAATAACCGAGGTCGCCTAATGCAAAGTTTTGTTATGAACCCTAGTGAACCCGTGCACAAACAACCCTTGCCAAAATGGGGGAGACTGCACAGTAACTGGAGATGATTCTTACAGCTGTAAATGTGCCGACGGATATTATGGAGAATCTTGTGAAAAAGGTACAGGCACAATAAATATGATCATTTTAGATATTTCTTGAATATAGAGGCGACTAATTTGCCAATCATAACGGACTTCTACTCTGCCAATATAATGTTTCGTTTCCTCAGTGAGCCCTTGTAAATCACATCCTTGTAAAAATGGTGGAACATGCACAATGACGGGTCTTGATTCATTCTCATGCAAATGCACTGATGACTTTGAAGGAGACACCTGCGAAAAGCGTGAGTAAACTTTTAACAGTACATCAGTTATGTTCAACGAGTACTTTTGTGCTTGTGTAGATTTGTTTCGTAAAGAACGTAACACAAATATTCTGATTCTTCTACAGGGCTTCCTTGTCCACCTGGCAAAAAGACGGACGATCCTCAAGGCCGTTGCTGTGTTTTTCCTTTTGAGTATGGAGGAGTAACTTACCAATCTTGTACCAACGGATGGTGTTCATTTGACGAAGTTTACGTGGGAAATTGGGCTAACTGCGGTAAGGAATAAAAGTTACAAATTTAGCAATATTAAATTCAATAAAGAAGCTTTTTGAAACGATTATTACCTTTATCGACCGGCTATAAGAAACAAAATAGCATTCAACGCTAATCTTTCACAACATTGACGATCTCTTTTCAGCTCTTTAAGACAGTTTGTTTTTCCATAAAATCGAAGCGACTGTTGATAAAAACCGGCAACTTTTCCGATTATGCTGACAGGGAGAGTTAAATAGTCCTCTTTGCTACTTAAGAAGCTTGTGTTGACTCAAAAACATTTATGGAGTGGATATTGGTTACCCTCCTTCGTACAACATGTAGGGGGGAGTAAAAATGCTAAATACTGCTTTGAGAGCTTGAGGTTATGATTTGTTCATGTGCCAATTTTTCAAAATAGTCTATTGGAATTTTTTGGTTGATAATCAACGAAGTGTGTTTGGTTTCCCTCAGCGAGCCACAAAATTTTCACTAGACACAAGTCATTACCTTTGATGTGTCAATAGCACCTAAATACCTTTGCAGATTTCATTTCCTGAGATGAATCCCTCCATATCTAAGGTAATTTTCTGTGTGGAAAACAAATCTACCTACCTCAACAAATAAATAACCGAGGCCGCCTAATGCAAAGTTTTGTTATGACCCCTAGTGAACCCGTGCACAAACAACCCTTGCCAAAATGGGGGAGACTGCACAGTAACTGGAGATGATTCTTACAGCTGTAAATGTGCCGACGGATATTATGGAGAATCTTGTGAAAAAGGTACAGGCATGATAAATATGATTATTTTAGACAATTCTTGAACATAGAGGCGACTAATTTGCCAATCGTAAGGTACTTCTACTCTGCCAATCATAATGTTTCGTTTCCTCAGTGAGCCCATGTAAATCACATCCTTGTAAAAATGGTGGAACATGCACAATGACGGGTCTTGATTCATTCTCATGCAAATGCACTGATGACTTTGAAGGAGACACCTGCGAAAAGCGTGAGTAAACTTTTAACAGTACATTAGTTATGATCAACAAATACTTTTGGGCATGTGTAGATTTATTTCGTAAAGAACGTAACACAATTATTCTGATTCTTCCACAGGGCTCCCTTGTCTACCTGGCAAAAAGACGGACGATCCTCAAGGCCGTTGCTGTGTTTTTCCTTTTGAGTATGGAGGAGTAACTTACCAATCTTGTACCAACGGATGGTGTTCATTTGACGAAGTTTACGTGGGAAATTGGGCTAACTGCGGTAAGGAATAAAAGTTACAAATTTAGCAATATTAAATTCAATAAAGAAGTTTTTTGAAACGATTATTACCTTTATTGACCAGCTATAAGAAACAAAATAGCATTCAACGCTAACCCTTCACAATATCGACAATCTCCTTTCAGCATTATAAGACAGTTTGTTTTTCCATAAAATCTAAGCGACTGTTGATAAAAACAGGCAACTTTTCCGATTATGCTGACAGGGAGAGTTAAACGAAAACTGATTTAGAGTTAGCTTTCAATCCTCTTTGCTACTTAAGAAGCTTGTGTTGACTCAAAAACATTTATGGAGTGGATATTGGTTACCCTCTTCCGTACAACATGTGAGGGGGAGTAAAAATGCTAAATACTGCATGAGAGCTTGAGGTTGTGATTTGTTCATGTGCCAATTTTTCAAAATAGTCTATTGGAATTTTTTGGTTGATAATCAACGAAGTGTGTTTAGTTTCCCTCAGCGAGCCACAAAATTTTCACTAGACACAAATCATTACCTTTGATGTGTCAATAGCACTTAAATACCTTTGCAGATTTCATTTCCTGAGATGAATCCCTCCATATCTAAGGTAATTTTCTGTGTGGAAAACAAATCCACCTACCTCAACAAATAAATAACCGAGGCCGCCTAATGCAAAGTTTTGTTATGAACCCTAGTGAACCCGTGCACAAACAACCCTTGCCAAAATGGGGGAGACTGCACAGTAACTGGAGATGATTCTTACAGCTGTAAATGTGCCGACGGATATTATGGAGAATCTTGTGAAAAAGGTACAGGCATGATAAATATGATTATTTTAGACAATTCTTGAACATAGAGGCGACTAATTTGCCATTCATAACAGACTACTACTCTGCCAATCATAATGTTTCGTTTCCTCAGTGAGCCCCTGTAAATCACATCCATGTAAAAATGGTGGAACATGCACAATGACGGGTCTTGATTCATTCTTCTGCAAATGCACCGATGACTTTGAAGGAGACACCTGCGAAAAGCGTGAGTAAACTTTTAACAGTACATCAGTTATGTTCAACGAGTGCCTTTGTGCTTGTGTAGATTTGTTTCGTAAAGAACGTAACACAATTATTCTGATTCTTCTACAGGGCTCCCTTGTCCACCTGGCAAAAAGACGGACGATCCTCAAGGCCGTTGCTGTGTTTTTCCTTTTGAGTATGGAGGAGTAACTTACCAATCTTGTACCAACGGATGGTGTTCATTTGACGAAGTTTACGTGGGAAATTGGGCTAACTGCGGTAAGGAATAAAAGTTACATATTTAGCAATATTAAATTCAATAAAGAAGCTTTTTGAAACGATTATTACCTTTATCGACCGGCTATAAGAAACAAATAGCATTCAACGCTAATTTCTCACAACATTGACGATCTCTTTTCAGCTTTTTAAGACAGTTTGTTTTTCCATAAAATCTAAGCGACTGTTGATAAAAACAGGCAACTTTTCCGATTATGCTGACAGGTAGAATTAAACGAAAACTGGTTCAGATAGGTTTCAATCCTCTCTGCTACTTAAGAAGCTTGTATTGACTCAAAAACGTTTATGGGGTGGATATTGGTTACCCTCCTCCCTACAACATGTAGGGGGGAATAAAAATGCTAAATACTGTTTTGAGAGCTCGAGGTTATGATTTGTTCATGAGCCAACTTTTCAAAATAGTCTAGTTGAAGTTTTAGTTGATAATCAACGAAGTGTGTTTGGTTTCCCTCAGCGAGCCACAAAAATTTCGCTAGACACAAATCATTACCTTTGATGTGTCAATAGTACTTAAATACCTTTGCAGATATCATTTCATGAGATGAAGCCCTCCATATTTAAAAGTAATTTTCTGCGTGGAAAACAAATCCACCTACCTCAACAAATAAATAACCGAAGTCGCCTAATGCAAAGTTTTGTTATGAACCCTAGTGAACCCGTGCACAAACAACCCTTGCCAAAATGGGGGAGACTGTAAAGTAACTGGAGATGACTCTTACAGCTGTAAATGTGCCGACGGATATTATGGAGAAACTTGTGAAAAAGGTACAGGCACGATAAATATGATCATTTTAAAAATTTTTTGCGTATAGAGGTGACTACTTTGCCAATCATAACGGACTTCTACTCTGCCAATCATAACATTTCATTTTCTCAGTGAGTCCATGTAAATCACATCCATGCAAAAATGGTGGAACATGCACAATGACGGGTCTTGATTCATTCTCATGTAAATGCACCGATGACTTTGAAGGAGACACCTGCGAAAAGCGTGAGTAAACTTTTAACAGTACATCAGTTATGTTCAACGAGTACTTTTGTGCTTGTGTAGATTTGTTTCGTAAAGAACGTAACACAATTATTCTGATTCTTCTACAGGGCTCCCTTGTCTACCTGGCAAAAAGACGGACGATCCTCAAGGCCGTTGCTGTGTTTTTCCTTTTGAGTATGGAGGAGTAACTTACCAATCTTGTACCAACGGATGGTGTTCATTTGACGAAGTTTACGTGGGAAATTGGGCTAACTGCGGTAAGGAATAAAAGTTACAAATTTAGCAATATTAAATTTAATAAAGAAGTTTTTTGAAACGATTATTACCTTTATTGACCAGCTATAGAAACAAAATAGCATTCCACGCTAACCCTTCATAATATCGACAATCTCCTTTCAGCGTTATAAGACAGTTTGTTTTTCCATAAAATCTAAGCGACTGTTGATAAAAACAGGTAACATTTCCGATTATGCTGACAGGGAGAGTTAAACGAAAACTGGTTCAGAGTTAGCTTTCAATCCTCTCTGCTACTTAACAAGCTTGTGTTGACTCAAAAACGTTTATGGAGTTGATATTGGTTACCCTCTTCCTTACAACATGTAGGAGGGAGAAAAATGCTAAATACTGTTTTGAGAGCTTGAGGTTGTGATTTGTTCATGTGCCAATTTTTCAAAATAGTCTATTGGATGTTTTAGTTGATAGTCAACGAAGTGTGTTTGGTTTCCCTCAGCGAGCCACAAAATTTTCACTAGACACAAATGATAACCTTTGATGTGTCAATAGCACTTAAATACTTTTGGAGATTTCATTTCCTGAGATGAAGCTTTCCATGTTTAAGGTAATTTTCTGTGTGGAAAACAAATCCACCTACCTCAACAAATAAATAAGCGAGGCCGCCTAATGCAAAGTTTGTTATGAACCCTAGTGAACCCGTGCACAAACAACCCTTGCCAAAATGGGGGAGACTGCACAGTAACTGGAGATGATTCTTACAGCTGTAAATGTGCCGACGGATATTATGGAGAATCTTGTGAAAAAGGTACAGGCACGATAAATATGATTATTTTAGACATTTCTTGAACATAGAGGCGACTAATTTGCCAAATATAACGGACTACTACTCTGCCAATCATAATGTTTCGTTTCTTCAGTGAGCCCCTGTAAATCACATCCTTGTAAAAATGGTGGAACATGCACAATGACGGGTCTTGATTCATTCTTCTGCAAATGTACTGATGACTTTGAAGGAGACACCTGCGAAAAGCGTGAGTAAACTTTTAACAGTACATCAGTTATGTTCAACGAATGCTTTTTTGCATGTGTAGATTTATTTCGTAAAGAACGTAACACAAATATTCTGATTCTTCTACAGGGCTCCCTTGTCCGCCTGGCAAAAAGACGGACGATCCTCAAGGCCGTTGCTGTGTTTTTCCTTTTGAGTATGGAGGAGTAACTTACCAATCTTGTACCAACGGATGGTGTTCATTTGACGAAGTTTACGTGGGAAATTGGGCTAACTGCGGTAAGGAATAAAAGTTACAAATTTAGCAATATTAAATTCAATAAAGAAGCTTTTTGAAACGATTATTACCTTTATTGACCGGCTGTAAGAAACAAAATAGCATTCAAAGCTAACCCTTTAATAATAGCGAGAATCTCCTCTCTGCGTTATAAAACAGTTTGTTTTCCATAAAATCTAAGTGACTATTGATAAAAATGCTGACAGGGAGAGTTAAACGAAAACTGGTTCAGAGGTAGCTTTCAATCCTCTCTGCTACTTAACAAGCTTGTGTCGACCTAAAACATTTATGGAGTGGATATTGGTTACCCTCTTCCGCACTATCTGTAGGAGGGAGTTAAAATGCTAAATACTGTTTTGGGAGCTTGAGGTTGTGATTTCTTCATGTGCCAATTTTCAAAAATAATCTATTGGATGTTTTAGTTGATATTCACATAATTTTCACATAATTTTTACTAGACACAAATCATTACCTTTGATGTGTTAAAGGCACTTAAGTGCGATAGTCTATAACTTTCATACTTTCGTCGGCCACTTCATTCCGTCGATTTGGCCGAAATTTGGCATGAAGTCTTAGTCTATGGTCCTCATCACGAAACGGATATTAAAAAGTGCCAGTTATTTTTGCTTGCCAATAAAATGGGAGAGTGCATTTGGTCTGCCCATATTTGCCCGCCAATATGGAGAATCGAAAGGGATCTTTTAAATTCAACTCGAGTCCTATCGTAAATGTTTCTCAAAATCTCGTGATATTCCTGAAACGATCTTCCCTTCCCCTTAGAATTTATTTAAAAAAACATAACAAATGTCTGGTTTTAACAATATATGATCCCAACGTTCTAAGGTCGCTCTAGGCCGCCTTGAACAGTGAAAAATTTACCCCAAGTTAGTGACCGAATATCTCCAGTGTTACCTCGATCCAGAAGTTACCATTTGCTGTGAACAACGTTTGTTCAAAGATGAACAGATTTCATAAAAAAAAAAGAATAGGGGAAATGAAATGGTCAAGGAAAAAAATTATCAACCCGTATCGACCTGGCTATGTTTGGGACCTGGTCCTAAAAGCTCTTAAATCAATTCACGCTCAGAGGGAAACAGTTAAAGTACATTTATCGTCCGGAAAGTTTCCTAATAGTATGGAGGTATCTTTTGATTTAACATAAACGTGTTGATTGTAGTGTGACCTTCAAGAATGTTCTAGAAGTAGCTGTGTCATGCTGAGTCATCTCTGAATCAAGATGTAAATAGAATCTATTGTTATGTTACGGAACGTTCTAGATCCTCAACCGTACCAATAAAAGCCAAGCTTGTATCTAGATGTAGCGAGTAGTTTAGTTGCTGGTAGAGCCCGTCAGATATCAGTAAAGGTGTATGCTGCAGAATATAGGACGTCCACACTTCAGTGATGTTCAAGAAAAATTGTTGCAATGGTATGATTTTAGGTAACTAGTTGAATTTAAACAAGCCACGTGCAATTACTGTAGGCGCAAGAATTTGTATCATTATTTTTGTTGTTGTTGTTTCATAGTTTCGTGTTAGGTGTTTAGTTTCTCGTCTTCATTAGTGTCCTCTGTCAGTTACCAGTTTTGTACTTGTTATATTTATTTGCATATCGTAGGTACTCTGTTCGCGCGTAATTTATTTGGTTAGTTGTCTAGTTTGCGGAACATATCGGAACATATCGTGCTTTGAGTTTCATTTTTTCGTCTTTTGGTTTGGTCACATTCGTCTTGTAAGTGTCCTTGTTTATTTCGCTTTGTCGTTTTCTAGTACTTTCACTCATACGTTGTAAGTTATTTTATGCTCATTCGCGTGTTATTTTCAGTTACCGTGTTCAACAATGAGTCATGTCAAGTTTGTTAAATTTTCTATGAACGGAAGTTTGTTCTAGTAAACTTTGAATACAAGTGATTAGCATTTGCGACTATAATTACGCTCAGAGTTTAATTCGCTTACCGTTTTGAGAACAAAGGATTTTGTGCAAAAAACATTCTTATCAATTCTTATAAACTATTGGTGATAGCTGTTGGTCCTTTATTTTAATTAAGTCGCTGCAAACTTAAGATTAATGATACTTTACTTACAGGTCGCGCAGGTCCTTACAGGTCCTTCATACTTCTTGGACACAACAACAAATATTGGAAAAGTTCTCGTTTTTAACAAAGCCAAACTTATCATGTCTGTTTAGATAAGGTTATTGTTTTTTTTTTATCATTTTACTCTCCTTCATACTTCTTGGACACAACAACAAATATTGGAAAAGTTCTCGTTTTTAACAAAGCCAAACTTATCATGTCAGTGATTAACTTCCCTTTTTGCTTCAGTTTATTTCCCAGTTCTTTGTATGAAGAGAATGCTCTAGTATAGTATAATATTGGTCAAGAGCGGTTTCTCGAGGTTTGCTGAGGATAGTTTCAGACATACCATGTAGTCGTGCGAGTGCATATCCCTTTTACGATGCACACGAGGCATAAAGCCTCATTTATGGGGTTTAAACGTTTTTGACGCGTCTTTGAGAAGGGCTAGAGTAGGTACTGGGACAAATTTCATGCTTATGCATCGATTAATTCGAAACTTCAACTTCCCTTCCCCGTGGAAATTGAAATCTTGAAAATTAGTTCTTCAAACTCCAATCCCCGGGGCCAAAATTGTGTTCAAATGCCCTACCCAAGTTTTTTTTTTTTTAAAAAAGGAAACACGGGCAACTCACGGGTATTTAACTGTCTCCCGTGCCTGAGGAATGGGAAATTTGGACCTTACGTGGCTGGGGTGGGGAATTTGAGCCGGAAATATAAGTCTTTCTAGAGCGATAAAGAAGTAAAGGTCTGCAAGGTCTAGAGTTTTAAAGCCCGGTAAATGAATGGAAAGTCACGGATTTGAATTTGTTTTGTCGATTTAACAAACTTTTCAAAAGCGATTTGTCTAAAAGATATCGATTCTGAATATTTTTTCGGATTTGCAAAATATTCTTGGATTGTCCCTTTTCGGCTTCCGTTCCTCTCTCATTGCCATCAAAAAATAAATGAAATATGGTTTCTTAGGTCTTGGATCTTAACTTCCGTTTTCGCTATAAACGACAGTTCAGAGATGAACAAGAATTCAAGAAACTATGAATTCGAATTCATAGTTTCGTTTTTCATATAGATTAGGTGTAAAGCTCGTTTAAAGCCACCGAAAGAAGTTTTAAAAAATATCCTCTCAAAGTAAAATAGATCTTAGAGCAAACTCAATTAGCGATTGCGCACGCATTCCAACGAGATGACATTTATTTCAAACAACTTTCATGTCTGTGCCCTTAATGACGAAGCTTCATTTGTGCATTTAGCGCTCACCGTTGGTTAAAAAAAAAATTGCAAGGAAGTATCCTGAAAGGTTCGGTTTCCTTTATACTGATAAGAACATTGAAACATATCAAAAACGAAATTAAGACCTACTCAAAAACGTGATGCAATTTACGTAATAGCCAACGAAAGATATCTGAATCGTTGACGTGACAAGGACCAACTGCAAATGTAGCTCACAGGTTCTGATTTTGAGTAAGTCTCCAATCACCACCAAATAAGCTGGTTTGGAATTCACAAGAATCTTCTCTTTTTCGGAATTTTTCGTTCTCAAAACGGTAAGTGAAATCAACCCTTCCGAGTGTTATTACCGGATCGACTGTTTACATTCATTGGGTAACCAAATATTTATCCCGTTGCGACAATGTCGCCCAGACATATTTGCTTTCGCTCAAAATCAACAGATACTTCCGTAATATCAGGAAAACTTCTGGAATTTGCTTTCATTCTGGACGAAATAAGTACTTGGACTTTATTTCCGACCGGTAAGCTGATTTACGAGCTGGTCCCTTTAAATTTCCCCCGTTTTTTTTTATTAATGCAATCAATTCATCCGTAAACAAACATTGTTCCAAATAAATGGCAACCTCTGGATCGAGGTAACATTGGAGATATCATGCTGACAAGTTGGGGTACATTTATTACTGTTCAAGGCGGCGCAAAACGACCTTCGAACGTTGAGATAACCTGTAATCAAAATCTGTCATCTCCCACATTTTTTCCAATAAATGTTAAAAAGGGTAGATCTTTTTATTTATTTCAAGAGATTTTAGGATATCTTTACGACAGGACTGGAGTTGAAATCATAAGAACACCTTCGATATGCCATGTTGGCGGACAAGTATGGGCGGACATAGTCGGCTTTATCGATTTTATGACAAGCAAAAACAGCTGGAACTTTTTAATACCCATTTCGTGGTAAGGACCCTACAATTAGCCTTCATGCCAAATTTCAGCCAAATCGGTAAGGTTAAGTGGCCGCGATTTTTTTAAAAAGTTCGAAAATGACAGACTATTGCTCTTAAATATCTTTGCATATTTCATTTCATGAGATGAAGCCTCCATGTTTAAAGGTAATTTTCTGTGTAGAAAACAAATCCACCTACCTCAACAAATAAATAACCGAGGCCGCTTAACGCAAAGTTTTGTTATGAACCCTAGTGAACCCGTGCACAAACAACCCTTGCCAAAATGGGGGAGACTGCACAGTAACTGGAGATGATTCTTACAGCTGTAAATGTGCCGACGGATATTATGGAGAATCTTGTGAAAAAGGTACAGGCACGATAAATATGATCATTTTAGACATTTATTGAACATAGAAGCGACTAATTTGCCAATCATAACGGACTACTACTCTGCCAATCATAATGTTTCGTTTCCTCAGTGAGCCCCTGTAAATCACATCCCTGTAAAAATGGTGGAACATGCACAATGACGGGTCTTGATTCATTCTCATGCAAATGCACTGATGACTTTGAAGGAGACACCTGCGAAAAGCGTGAGTAAACTTTTAACAGTACATTAGTTATGTTCAACGAATGCTTTTGTGCTTGTGTAGATTTATTTCGTAAAGAACGTAACACAAATATTCTGATTCTTCTACAGGGCTTCCTTGTCCACCTGGCAAAAAGACGGACGATTCTCAAGGCCGTTGCTGTGTTTTTCCTTTCGAGTATGGAGGAGTAACTTACCAATCTTGTACCAACGGATGGTGTTCATTTGACGAAGTTTATGTGGGAAATTGGGCTAACTGCGGTAAGGAATAAAAGTTACAAATTTAGCAATATTAAATTCAATAAAGAAGCTTTTTGAAACGATTATTACCTTTATTGACCGGCTGTAAGAAACAAAATAGCATTCCACGCTAACCCTTCACAATATGGACAATCTCCTTTCAGCATTATAAGACAGTTTGTTTTTCCATAAAATCTAAGCGACTGTTGATAAAAACAGGCAACTTTTCCGATTATGCTGACAGGGAGAGTTAAACGAAAACTTGTTCAGAGCTAGCTTTTAATTCTCTCTGCTACTTAACAAGCTTGTGCTGACCTAAAAACATTTCTGGGGTGGATATGGGCTACCCTCCTCCGTACAACATGTAGGGGGGAGTAAAAATGTTAAATACTGTTTTGGGAGCTTGAGGTTGTGATTGGTTCATGTGCCAATTTTTCAGAATAGTCTATCGGAAGTTTTAGTTGATAGTCAACGAAGTGTGTTTGGTTTCCCTCAGCGAGCCACAAAATTTTCACTAGACACTAATAACTACCTTTGATGTGTAATAAGCACTTAAATACCTATGCATATTTCATTTCCTGAGATGAAGCCCTCCATGTTTAAGGTAATTTTTGTGTGGAAAACAAATCCACCTACCTCAACAAATAAATAACCGAGGCCGCCTAATGCAAAGTTTTGTTATGAACCCTAGTGAACCCGTGCACAAAGAGCCCTTGCCAAAATGGGGGAGACTGTACAGTAACTGGAGATGATTCTTACAGCTGTAAATGTGCCGACGGATATTATGGAGAAACTTGTGAAAAAGGTATAAGCATGATAAATGTGATCGTTTTAGACATTTGTTGCACATAGAGGCGACTAATTTGCCAATCATAACGGACTACTACTCTGCCAATCATAATGTTTCGTTTCCTCAGTGAGCCCCTGTAAATCACATCCATGTAAAAATGGTGGAACATGCACAATGACGGGTCTTGATTCATTCTCATGCAAATGCACTGATGACTTTGAAGGAGACACCTGCGAAAAGCGTGAGTAAACTTTTAACAGTACATCAGTTATGTTCAACGAATGCTTTTGTGCATGTGTAGATTTATTTCGTAAAGAACGTAACACAAATATTCTGATTTTTCTACAGGGCTTCCTTGTACACCTGGTAAAAAGACAGACGATTCTCAAGGCCGTTGCTGTGTTTTTCCTTTCGAGTATGGAGGAATAACTTACCAATCTTGTACCAAGGTAGCTCATCACAGATTGTGGTGTTCATTTGACAAAGTTTACAAAGGACAATGGGCTTACTGCGGTAAGAAATAAGCATCTCAAATTTGAATACAAAACAAAACTTATGGTATGATCATCGGCTAGAATAGCCAGTTTTTTCATGAAATGTACTGATTGTGATTGGAGCTAAAAAATGTAGATGCTACTGTTTAGAGGTAGGAAATTTTGGGGAAGTCTTTCAAAAAGTTTTTTGGAGAACCTTGTATGAGGTGCTACTGAGAAACCCTGAATAAAAACTCGGCATACCCTAAGGCGAAAGTGAAAATGAACATTCGAAAAAATTATGTTTTAACGAGAGACAAAAGTCATATTCTGTCTTACCAATAAGCCATCCTACCAGTGTAGCCCCAGCTGCATCCTCGACGAACGCAGTTGGTATCACGGGCATGATCTTATGGGATACACTGTTCCGGTTAGGGATATGAATTCACCTTTTGTCCCAGAGGGGCTTAAGTGCAACTTCCATTTCATATTTTTGCTTATGCTTTACTTGGTAATGTAATGTTTCCAATGATCTATGGCAAAGCGCAAAAGGTTCCCCTTCCAAAACAGGCTCGGTTTTCTTCCACCAATTCGAGTAAATAATAGTTGTTGTCTATCTTCCTGTCAACGGAAAATGACCCCAAGCAAAAACTTTTTTGCGTTTTGCTACTCTTCCGAATCCTATTTGAGGAGTTTCTATTATTTAGTCTTTCACAGCTCATTGTGATGCTATGATTTGATGGGTTATTTTGTGATCATGGATTATTGTTGACATTCTTTTGCAACAGTTGATGAATGTGAGTCATCTCCTTGTAAGAATGGAGCCAGTTGTAAGATTACTCAAGATGGTTACAGTTGTCAGCCATGTCCTGCAGGATGGGATGGGAAAAACTGTGATGAAGGTTTGATGCGTCTTCGAATTAACTATCTTTTTGGTCTTGGGAAATCACTTACGGCCAGCAGCTTAGTCCTCTTTCAAAGGAAAGTCTCCTCAATTGTTTTTTTCTAAGAGAATGAATGAAAATTTTGTTTCTCCAAACCTTTTCGGTTGCCTATGGTGTCAGTGTTCCTAAGTATGGTATTTGCCTGTGTAGGTCCTGCGGACGATCTTCGCGTTGTCTGGCAAGCTCAGTTTGAACTAGAGCAATGCTACCGGTTCTTTTACTCGCTAATCTAGGCTTTAGGAATAAACTCTTTTTGTGGGTAGTCTGTACTGCCATATGCGCTAAAAGACACTCGACGTGCGAAAGCAACGTTGATATGCGCGTCGGATGTCAACAGTAAATGGTCTAGAGCCATTGAAAGTTACCATTACTTCCAACTTTTTCATCCTTCCAACTAATTGGTGAAACAACGTTCTCATTTTAAATGTCTTCAAATCACTTCAAATCTATACGCTTTCTGGGCGAAGCCAATCAACTTTTATAGTCATTACAATTAACGACGTCTGAGTTAGCCGTCTCATGGAACAAATAAAGGGTTTCGAAGAGGAACCTAAAGATTCTCTGTGTTTTGTCTTTAAGTTTAAGTCGCTGTCTTAATAAATATATAGCACGTAGTATACATTAACGATTAATACATGAAACATTGCTACCCACACGACACTAAATAACCGTCAAAAAGTAGCTTTCACCAAAGCAGACAGGATTCCGACAACTGTTAAATTCATTTGGAATCCCTCGGCTGATAAACCCCAGTTGCATTTTCGCCACAGATCAAACCCTCTTGTGACCATACCTCGTTTCATCCAGTTTGCCTTCAAAGTAGGATTCGGAGTATTTCCATAAGAATCAAGGATTCACCAAGATTTTCAGTCCTTTATGTTTCTGCCGAGACCTAAGGTTGAAATTTTGAACAATTTATTATCAAACATGGACTAAAAAAGTCAGACTTCTCAATGGACAGATGCTTTCATCCATCTGTTTGTTTGTTTTTTCAACCAGACTCGGACTCAAGTTTTTCCACAAGAATTGAGGGTTCACCAAGAATTTTTTTCAGTCCTTTATGTTCCTACTGAGACCTTAGGTGGAAATTTTGAACAATGTTTAGCCAAACATAGACTACAAAAGTGAGACTTATCACTTGACATGTTTTCATCCATATGTTTGTTTCTTTTTCTCCACCAAATTCGAACTCAACATTTTGGCCCATTGACTTCTTCCAAATTCTTTTGCTGCAGTCGCGTGGAAATCTGAAGGATGTTTCAAAGAGCACAAGAGGAAAGCGAAAATGGTTCTCGGACGTAAAATCGCCACCGTCCATGGAAAGAAACTAAGCATTCAGGACGTATTTGAGAAGTGCAAAATTGCAGCGGAAAAGAAAGGTTTCAAGATTTTTGGTATTCGAGTGAGTACAAAAGATTTGTTTAACTTAACCTAGCATTCATAAGACTATTTAATTAGTTTCCATAAGCAAGTGTGTGAGATATCCGACTCAGTCGAACGAAACACTCGGTTGCATAAGCATAACCAAAATTGCAGTACACCTCTTTAGGCTTGGTTTGTAGTGATCGCTTTAAGAGCTAATGTCAGCATGCATCAAACAAAGAGCGGCAAGTCACCCAAAGTTTGCTTTCACTCCTACTTTCATATTTTGTAGCCCAATATGTTCTAATAATTGTGGTGTAGTTTTTTTTGTAAAAATTTAATTCAGTTTTCGAGAAATAATTTTTTTTCGCTCGACTGCTCAAATATGCAAATTTTCACCGTTAATATTACCCGAGTTGTGTGACATGGGAAAAGTATGTCGGACAAAAATATTCACCAAAAATAAATAAATCTTTGCCAGCTTCAATAAAGACAGGGCACTAAGTTTAGGTAATAAAACGAAGTATTATGTTGACAGAAATGCCGGAGGTCAAGTGGAATCGATACATGAGGTCACACAACTTGGGTAATATTCACGGTGAATATTTGCATATTTAAGCGGTCGAACGAAAAAAGTCATTTCTCGAAAATTGAAATAAATTTTCACAAAAAAACTACACCACAATTATTAAAACATATTGGGCTACAAAATATAAAAGTAGGAGTGAAAACGAATTTTGAGCGACTTGCCGCAATATTTCAAATTTCTTCGATGGATGCTGATATCCTCTCTTAAAAACGTTCCAAATGCGATTTTCTTAAGGTAACTCACAAGGTAGACTGTAATCTTGATTCCCAACCATTTTTAATCTTCTTCTCTATTTGTTGTACAGAACAGGAACAGGTGTTTCACAACAAGTGATGGAAAAGTGCAGGAGTTTAAAAAGTATGGAGTATCATCCAAATGCAAGATAGATGACAACGGTCTTGGTGTTGGAATGAAACTCGCCAACTTTGTCTACACCAGGTAACTTGGATAGGGGCTCTTACTCTCATTCTCTTCAATGTTAATTCTAAATGCTAAAGGTATAGCAAAGAATAAAAGCCAGAACAACAGAAATAACAACTATTTATTTTCACTAAAGCATCTGAGCGGGCCGGAATCTTAAATTCTCAGATCTGATTGGCTAATCACGTCCTCGTAGCCGGTCCATTTTTTTTTTATGATACGGACTACGTAATGGAACTTTTTCCGTACAATTAACAGCAAAGCAGAAAAGGTAGACCAGCAGAGAAAAAATTGGATTATTTATTCACCAGTCTAGGTCAGTCCGTATGGGAAAAAAACTGTAAGGGGGGGGGGGGTTGCTGACCTCACTAGTCTTTGGATACCAATAAGAAGAAAAAAAATAAACAAAACACTATAAAAAAAACAATTATCAAGAATATAAGGCAAGTCACGAATAGGATAAAATTTAAGTAGCGACATTTAAATAACACGGCACAGTAGCTCAATATTAACATAAACGATATTTTTATTACCGTAATGATTCGATTTAGCTCCTGGGCGCTTATTTACTTTTGGTACCTCAAGGGAGGGTGCCCATCGGACACAGGGGGCTTATTAGGGACAGGACGTTATTTCATCTTTTGAGGAACAGCATAATGTGCAAAACAAACCATTGACATTTATTTTAAAAAGGATCAAAAACAGACTGGTTCCCCCTGGATCCTTCATGAACCTTCCTGGATAGAGCGACTAGCGGCAGCCAAGCAATTGTCACAAAATTTGAAAATGAGATATGCATTTAATAGATGAGAGACTGAAACGAAGACCACCATTCCTGCAATGAGGCTTTAAGTGCGCAATTAAAGGAAGATGAACCACGGTTGATCTCAATGTACATGTATTATTGGAATGAGGATACTTTCTCAATAGAGGTGCTTATTGGTATAGGGGCGCTTACTAACAAAAACAAATTCGATGGGCGCTTATTAGAGAGGGTGCGCTTATTATAGCGAGAGCGGTAAATCGAATCATTATTATCACGCAGCCATTAACATAAGATTTCTATTGTTCACATGATAAATCGAGTTTCTATTTTAAATCATCTTTTCTAATCTTTTCCTTAGGCTGTAAAGATAGGCTCCATGCAGAAATGCAGCTATGCACAAAATGGATTGGATGGAATTAGTAGTTCTACCGGAGTAAATTGAAAATCTTGTTGGGTTAAGGGTTATAATTCATTAAAGGGTTAATCTGAACTAAATAAAAAACGCGGCACAAATGGGAAGAGTGTTTATCATCTTTTATTGAAACTATAGCAGCATTCTACTTTAACTTGTTTTCCTTGAGAGGAAGTCGCAGGCCATGAGTTCTTTGGACGCAAAAGGCGAACCTACTTTTTTTTCTGTATCTCTTTGTTGCTTATGATTGGGATGTTTGAAGTTGTCGTCAAGATTATATAATTATGTTGTAGTATAGTTGGTGTTTTCAGGAAATAGAACGAGTGATCATATGAATATTGAAGTCTCCCACAAGATGGTTAGAAAGTAAGAATGAAGAATCAGAAAATCTGTGAACTTCTACTGGGAATCGTTTATAGTTCTAGTTCGCCATGCTCACAAGGAAGTAAATTATTTTTCCCTTTTTATACTTAAAAATATAAAACCACGCACCTTGATGGTTGGATGCTCAGGTGAACCAAACTGACTTTTGTTTCGCATTTCAGTTCAAATAGTAGTAAGTAGTTAATATACTGCAAGAAAGTTTTAATGATTTCTACAAACTCAGCGGCCAAGTTTCTTGTAAACCTATAGAAGTGCTTTCTAGAAAACAGATATCGTTGAGAAATATTCTCTCAAAATATTCGCGATTACGGGAGCAACGGGTAAGGGAGGCACGACTCGCACACCAGACTATAAACCTAAAATCTCTTTCCTGTATTTCTTCGCTGTAGAGTCCGCCTTAGATCTTTTAAATGTAATAATAAGAACCTCTTCGTAAGGCTTCACGCGAACTAGTAAAAACTGCCGTCACCTGTTGAGCCGCTACGCAAGCCGGTGCTTCTGCAGTGTTCTTTACCATCCGTTTTATTTATTAATGTATAATTTTAAAGTTCTTATTCAAGTTCTCATCAAGTTCTCATCAAGTTCTCATCAAGTTCTCATCAAGTTCTCATCAAGTTCTCATCAAGTTCTTATCAAGTTCTCATCAGGTTCTCATCAGGTTCTCACCAAGTTCTCATCAAGTTCTCATCAAGTTCTCATCAAGTTCTTATCAAGTTCTCATCAGGTTCTCATCAAGTTCTCATCAGGTTCTCATCAAGTTCTCATCACCTTCTTATCAAGTTCTCATCAGGTTCTCATCAGGTTCTCATCAAGTTCTCATCAAGTTCTCATCGAGTTCTTATCAAGTTCTCATCAGGTTCTCATCAAGTTCTCATCAGGTTCTCATCAAGTTCTCATCAGGTTCTCATCAAGTTCTCATCAAGTTCTTATCAAGTTCTCATCAGGTTCTCATCAAGTTCTCATCAAGTTCTCATCAAGTTCTCATCAAGTTCTCATCAAGTTCTCATCAAGTTCTCATCAAGTTCTCATCAGGTTCTCATCAAGTTCTTATCAGGTTCTCATCAAGTTCTCATCAAGTTCTCATCAAGTTCTCATCAAGTTCTCATCAAGTTCTCATCAAGTTCTCATCAAGTTCTCATCAAGTTCTCATCAAGTTCTCATCAAGTTCTCATCAAGTTCTTATCAAGTTCTTATCAAGTTGTTATCAAGTTCCTATCTAGTTCTCATCAAGTTCTTATCAAGTACTAACACAAGTTCTTATCGTTGACTGCAACTTTTTTGGCAGTGAGAAGAGCAACACTTGCGATTGTCATGTGCCTTCCCTTCTTTAGACTAGATCCGCCTGCGATCATTCCGAGTTCTCTCTTAACTATGAAGTTATCGTTCAAGTCCTTCAGAAGTTTTCCTTCATCAACAGGGAGAAAATGAGCTAATGCTTTACATAGGAGCTGAAGAAATGTATCAACCATTCCATCAAAGTCTTTAAAGACAACGAAGCTCCATATCTCTTGAAGTACATCTCAACATCTTGTTCAGAAAGCTTCTTGACTTGATCCTAGTGAGAGATACACAAATCATCTCCTTCGCTTGATACTCAATACTTCTCATTCTTGAGCTTTGATATCAATTTCTTCTGCTCATCTTTCATCAACTCACCTGCGTTATCCTTAAAATGATCTTCATATCCTTGGAAAATGTTGTGTAGAAGAGAAATAATGTAGCAGTGTTCTCTCTCAATGGTTTTGCGATGCTTGTCATCCGTTGTGTGAGGACCCAAACGCTGATTTCCTTATGACTTGCGCTGAATGCCAAATTCACGATTTCATTCGTCCTCTGCTTCACATCCCTCGAAGCAGCACAATCACCGAGAATGATCAGTGTGTCAGTTCCCTCATACACATAACTAATAATCTTGAGCCAGTCATCAATCTGGTTTTGCTGAGGAGTTAAAATAAATAAGTCTTTATCCGAATCTCCGAAATTATCATACGTCTCGTTGTGGACGAATGTTGTACAAATCAGGACAGTGTAATCGAAGTTCTGAATGAGTTCGCTGCTCAACAGATTAATCAGGTGTCTTTCTCTTTCCTTAATTAGAAGGTCCGACTATTAATGTGATGGATGGAATGTTATCAAGATTCATATTTTTTATTCATTTAATTGATAAGCTCTTCGAGCCGGGCCGCGGAGTGATAGTGACCATGAGTAAAAGTCGACATCGTATCTTCTCTTATTATTCTATTATCATTATTAGTACTCAAAGATATCTTGTCTATCGTCTCAGTGAAGACCTCGTGTTTATCATCATGATTACATTCATTTTCCTCATTTCCATGTTTCCGCGAAATAAGCACTCTTGTAGTCTTCATAAGTTATATTCTTCTTTATTACGGCCTTCTTAATACCTTTACACTTTTTCTCATCTTTTCCCTCAAACATCTTGTACCTGTAGAGTTTTGCTCTCAATCCAACAAACTCTTCAACGACCTTTCCACCAGCTTCATCCTTCATCATTCCCACGACCTTCTTGTTACGACCATTTGGGATCCCTGACACGCGATCTTCGGGGTGAGTACTAGTGTCGAGCTTGTCTTTAACATCACCGCATATATCCTTGTAGAAGTTTTCAATCGCAATCTCATACATCAAGCTGTCAGTGTCTGTGAAGAGAAGCTTTGCACGATTTCCAGCCTTCGGTCAGGCCGCAGAGCTGCCATACTTCTTCTTGACGTAGTTATAGTGGAAGTCATACATTAGAGTCCTGCTGATATCAAGGATGCTCATTCCACAATATACTGGCTTATCAAACTTAAGTTGTCTTCTTTACATTAATCGTTACCAAATCTTCATTGAATATCGTGCAATTCTTGAAGTTTGGTTTCGCTGTAAGTTCTAGTGCTATCTTTCTATCATTGACTAATCTCACACCTACTCAATTCTTGATGTTTTCCACACTTTTTGTGAAGACAGGGTTGTTCATCAATTTGAAGAATTCTTTCTCGAAATCATTCTTCGCATTCGCCCGTAAATTAGTATTGAGCTCGATGTAGCTCTTAAGCCAAGGTTCTTCTTCGAAACTTGTACCTCTATGAATCTTTTTTATCCTCAAACCGAGATCAAGATATTGTTTCAGTGTCTTCTGATGAACTATGTATCTGTCCTTATCATTCAGATTTGGAATAATTTTTTCCACCCTATTTATCCTCATTATCTCAGGAGCAAGCAGATAATCGTTTTACAATTCATGAAGCTCTTTAGGATACTCAAGATCCACCTCGAGGATGCATGGAATATTTCTCTAGTTGTCAGTTATCCACTGAGTCAGTGAGTGATTCAAGCTCTACATCAGTCCCCTTCAAGGTAGCATCCCAAGCCAATCCAGGAGCGGTGAAATACCACCAGGGTCGAGCTTATGACAACCGTTTCTGGATTCTTCAAACATCTTTGCCAGTAGGAGAACATCCGTTGTGAGATAAAGGTCATGGTAATCACCCATCGTCTTCATTTTGAACTCTTTCCAGACCCTCTTTGCATGCTCGTAGTCTTCATGTGAGATATCACTGTCGTTCAGCTTAGAGTAGGACTCTTCTTTGAGTGGCAGTTCTGTTTCTTTAAACTTAGTGGTACTATCCATGTAGTCATATGGGTGCGCACCTTTCCGCGAGACCAACTCGATTTTGTCTTTAAAGACTTTCCTTTTTAATAACTCAATTTTGCGACTAAACTATCGAGGGAAGAAGCAATGGACCCAAAGCTGTCGAGAAAGCGAAACTCGTTTTTGACTTCAACTATTTTACCTTCTTTGTCGATGAAAGAACCAACAACGATATCTTTGTTGAAACTGATGTATTTTTCCTCATTATTTGGAATGCATTTGATGTTTTCTTCGGTCTTGCCGAGATTCTTAACGGATAAATTAGAGTCATAGCCAGCCAAGTTGTGAATGATGACAGGAGTGAACTTCGGCTTCTTGAATTGTAAGTTGCATTTGTAGCGAGCTGCTTCACGATACTTCCCTGTGAAATGGTAGTGGTCCCTCACTCTGTCATTGTCATTGTCAAATAAACACTTGCAAATCCAGTAGTGCGTTGCATCGTTGAAATCATGCCTATCTTCATCTGCGAAGATCATCTTCTTGGCAAAGTCCAATTACTTACAAATCTCCTTGATGTTTTCTTCAAGCATTTCTAAAAGGATCCGATCAACATCCTCATCCTCACTGCCCCTGCAGGGGCCGACCGAAGGCTTCTTTGCTCTGTAGATGACTTGCTCTTGTGAATAAAGCTTATCATCCAAACTAACGATGTGATAACGGAACCCACACAGTTTGTGCTTTTGATACTGATTAGCGAAGCTCTTATCACTCATGAGCTCACTTGTGTCAATCGATTCTGTTAATTATTCAAAGTCATCGTAAATTACGAATGGAACTCTTACAAATCTATTGTGATTCTTGAATTTGATATACGGTATTATTCCTTCATCATTTACTTCCGGCATCACGATAGGTCCTGCTTCATTGTTAGAGCAGCGTAGATCATGAATTGCTAATTTTTTTTCACTTGGAAAGTGACTCAAACCTCTTCGACAGAAGAAAAATGAACCATCTCGCTTTGTGACTTGTTTAGAGAGTAACCTTCCAATGTTTTTGATCAAGCAGTAGTGCTGATTACCTTCTTTTATCATAAGAAAATCAATGATTAGTTTTCCATCCTCTTCTCTG